ATATAATATCAAATACATGATATATATATAAAAATATAATATCTGATATCTATTATTCAAGATACATTTTGCGACAATCGGATGGCCGGAGAATCGCAACAATTGTGCCATCCTTGGACATGCGCCTCTCTTTCCAATGACAGAAACAGGAGGGACGATGCATTGAAAAAAGCGGCAATGGTTGCGAGACTCCGCCTCTTACAACATCGCGGAATGGTCCTTGACTTGCAGAATAACAGATACACGCATACCTATTCTGAACAGGTTACCGCATCGTGATCAGGGCACGTCACCGCCAAGGAATCTCCGGCAAGGGTTATATCTGGTCGCTGGAAGGAAGGGGGTTGCATCTGGCCTCAAACCAAATTTTCTGGATGACCTCTGGCGGTTTTTTCCTGCTTCACATGTGCTCTTTACCCACTCCCAGCCCCGCACCTGCTCGAAAGCAAAATTTCTGGAAAGCTGGAGTGTAATAAGTGGGAAGCTGGGGGAAGTCTGGTAGGATGACAGGGGGGGGGGCAGGAAGGAAAGAGGGGATCGCATCAGAGGAGGCGAGGGAGGGTGTTGGGGTGGGGGCGTCGTCACCCCCAGTCTCTCAAAACCTTTCCAATTCCACACCGCTTTTCCACTTTTCCCAGCCAGGAGTTCCCTCCGCAACAACCGATGTTTTTTTTGCCAACAAAATGGTTCAAATAGTAAACCAAAAACGAATAGTAGTTCTGCGGAGCCAGAAATTAATGTATGGGAGGCGGGGATAAACATGGTACGGATAACCAAGAAAGGTCACAGCCGAAAAAAAATCCCGTGGCTCGAGCATGCTGAACATTGACGCTTACTCAACTACCTATGGACTTACGGCACTGAGTTTTTCTGCAGCGCTGCTGAATATCATCTCTTACCACATTTCACCTTTACACGGTGCAAAAAAAGGAAAAAGAAACTAAAAAAGAGGAAAAAACCAAAAAAAGAAGGAGTGTGAGAGGGGAACCAGTCACTCACCCTACGAATTTTCTTGATATCTGCTTCACTATAGTGCTGCAACCTCTTCACCTAAATTACCCAACCTTCACGGGACGGAACTTATTTCACAATCACTGAAATATTGGAAAAACGAAAAAAGAGTTTACCTTCGCTAACTCTCCCGTATAAGGAAACATGTCTTCGTATTCCATTAACACTCCGTGAACACCCAGACTTCTCAAAAGCGGGAAAAACCACTCATAAACATTCACTTTTGGTGGAGCACCTTTGAGATCAAGATGAACTATGGCCTGTAAACGAAAGATCGTTGATTTAATGCAAAAAAAATGTTCAAATTCGATTTCAAGTCAAAATCGGTATAATGGTAGAAATTTTTAGGCGATCGTATTCTATTGGATGTGCCTGAAGCTGTGGGGGATGGCAGACAGGCGAGGGTAGGCCGGGGCTGACTTCTTGCTTTCCAACGCTGAAGCTATTGGGGTGGATAAGTACCTCGGCGAGATTGAGCAGACAGAGCCGGTCGCTGTGGTCGTACAACGCCAGTGGTATTTACAGAGGGACCCCTCAAGGTGCCACAGGACAGTTGTACACGCTGCAAATAGGAGGCCTGTTTCCCTTCAAAGATTCTGCATTATGAGCGCGCCAGCGACTAAACTTCGCGCTCGGTCTCGTCTCAAAGCGTGGAAAAGCGAACACCGCAGTCTTCAATTAACTACAATAAGGCTTCCAGACAAAAAAGCAGGAAACATAGTAATAAGAAGTCAGTGCAGCATGAGACGCGCGCGGATGCGACGCGCATAATCACGGAACAGTTTCCACTGGCCTGACCTTCATTAGACGAAGAGGTGAAGAGGCTAAGGGATGCAGAAGCGATGGCGGAGTAGACGCGCGATTATCGCGAGCTGACGGGGGCACGCCGCTTGCGTCGCACGCGGAAAAGGTGCACCATTAGCACCAGTCGACCAAAATTCCTTTAGCGGACCGTCCGTCCGTACTCCTCCTAACAGTTTGACCTAGCTATGGGACAGCGGAACTCGTACGAAACCGCTGCGGCAGCGCTAGCCACGCCCACCAGCGTGACGACCTAACAGTGGTAACCATTGGCTGGCAACAGGCCGTGTGAAAGGACAGAGCGCTAACGGAGAAGGGGGTACCCCCTCCCCCTTCTCCGTTAGCGCCCTGGCCTTTCACACGGCCTTAACTAATCAGAAAGAAAATTTGTACTTACCTGAGCGAATGGTTGCGAATCAAATGGGCCGCCCACTTTCTTTCGAGGCAACATTTCACTCTCCGTGATACCATCCTGTCGCAGCGAAAATACTATAAACACAAAGAGAAAACTGGCAACGAAGATCCATGCCACTCGCCGTACTCCATGATATTTGGCCGAAGAGAGCATACGTGCTCTTCGACACTTCAATGATCTCCTACCAATGGAAAATTTGGAAAAAAATTCAAAAAAAGTGAAAATTTAAATAATTGCGAAAAAATAAGGTAGATTTTGACTCTGGACCACTTGAGCACAAGCAAAAACATCACAATAAAAGCATTTATCATTATTATGACAAAACATCTTTGTAATGCACTCGACTGCATGGAATCACAGCGAAATCAAGGGCGTACACACCGGTGGCCCATATCGAACAGATCTACGTCAGATAATGAACGGAAACGGAGGGTGGGGAGGGAGGGGGGGGGGGTAGAAATACGTACAACAAGCAACACAAACGAAAAAAATTACTCTTGACGCCTTACAGCTCGTACGAATTAGCATGGAAAAGTACCTCAACAGCGCATTCACATAGAAATCAATCGATACAACAATAGCTATGAGAATTCTCTGCGATAACTGATACATTAGCATGGGAATTGACTATATAAATCACTATTTGGATATAAGTTTAACCGTAATCGTCCATCTACGCGTCTATAGCAATACAAACACACTAATTCATTCAAATGTTAATATACCGTTTTCCTTTCTTATCGCCTGGCGCTTTGCTGAGCGTCCTACAAAGGTCAGGAAAGTGCTGGGCTCCAGACGTCTATAGTCCGCGGCACAGACGCGCAGCGACAAAGGAAGAAAAACACTCGAAAAAATGACGTCGGTCCCGACTAAACCTCTTTGGCACCGTAGACCTCGCGATGGCGCGCGCGACAACGCGGTCACATCATGTGACGCACGTAGACGCGCTACACAGCAACAGCGCTCCAATGCTGTAGACGTAAACGCAGCCATAGATAAGTATCGATCGGCGCCGGCCACCACTGCTCTGGAGCATAACAGAAGACGCGCGGCCTTATCACAGTCTGATAGCCTCCCATTATCCCATACTCTCTCAGAGGACTAGTGGGCGGCGCCGATCGATACCCGTTCATAGTTGCGTTTCCGTCGATAGCACTGGACGCGGTTGCAATCTTTGCGCGTCGACGCGTATACAACGCATCGCCGCGAGTCATCGTGAAGCTTGAACGCTGTCGCCACAAGCCCATTGAAACATCAAATCTAGCTGGTGTTAGTGCAAGGAAGAAAGGTTGAGTATCGAATGGGGGAGGGGTCAGCGCCGCGGCCACGCGGTATTGCAATTTGCTTCACGTGCGCAGCAGGACCTAAGCGGTTTAAGGTGAAAGTGACATAGTTCGTCGACCAACTAGGCTATTCTGGTAACTTGTTCAAGGGCGACTGCAGGCCACGCTAATTCTTTCCTCGTCTGTGCCCTTACCACAACCAAACTACCAAGCACTTTTTCGGTAAGAGTAAACGAAAGAGCAGAGAACAGATGTGTTCCTATTTTGACAGACCGTCTCTCCACCACACTAGCTAAGGGCTCGAAAAGCGGGTCAACCATTTTGTATTAGTAAGATCTTATCTCAGTCTTACCTTCCCGACTAGGGCGGATTAACAATCCAGTGAAGACAGGCCCACGCTACGCAACCGCCCGCGTCCCATCCTGGTTATTTCACGTGCACTTTCGAGAATCTATGAAGTGGCGATATTTGGTTACAAGTGAGTGCTGGCGCAAACGTAATTAGAAAGATGGTAGAAGGGAGGGGTAGGGAGATTGGTGCTGCATCTATGTCCTTTCCCCTAGCCAGGGCGTAGCAGAGCGCAGACGACCAGACTCTATGTCCGCACCTGGATGCGGTCGAGACCGGGATCACGATCGAGACAAATTAATTGCGACCTTTCACTTTTGGGCCCCAGAAATAGTCTCCTTCTGGGCCAGATAAAAAACTGTGTTTTAGGTAGAGAAACTGAACGACTATTAATTCAGACCGACGTCACATTGTAAACAAAAATACGCAAAAGAAAAGTTAGGTACATTGTGGCAAAATGGCATACCTGCTCTTAATCGGCAAATATATAAACATATAATCTCTAAAGGGCAACACACAGGAAAACGATTGAATCTACTCGCGAAAACCTTAGCTGGAAATGACCTAACGCATATCTAGCGTAAAATAGATGCTGATTTAGGAAGACCTTTAAGTGTCAAATTTTGAGAGAATGCGAGTACGAAAGAGGAGGGGCAAGAACAAGTTCACACTCACACGTGCTGGCCAGCTGGGCCAGCTTGGGCTAATAAAACGAAAGCACCCGTAGTTTCAGATGCAAAAAAATGTAATACGCGAACGAGAAGAGCGCGAGATGATCGAAGGAAAACAAGGAAGGGAAAGAAGACAAAACACTACCATCCCCGAACATAGGGTCACTCTTTTAGCTGGGAACTGATCGTTCTCAAAGGTTTGGCAGAAGCCAATTCTAATGAGCCAGCTTATCATTATACTGCTAGTCGAATAACTTGCCCAGCTTATGCTTGAGACCTTTCTTCTGCTCCACTGGTTCTGGATCGGTTTGGCAAGCGCCCAAAACTCCTAATCTGCTTTCCGCCCGTACGCAGAAATGACGGCAATAAATTGCCGGGCAGGATGTCAACACCTTCCGTCCACGTCTCACCAAGTCGTGGCTAAAAAAATAAAAATTCAAAACCATGATGCAATAAAAAGAAGCAATTCAGCTTGGTGGGGCATCTTACTGGTCCCCATCGATCACTACAGATTTCCTCTAGAGACTTGTAGATTTCAGAAAAGCTATGCAATAGCACGAGCTTCGTTTATACTTAACAAGAACGCACAAGTCTCACCAAGCTAACGAGGACTAGCGCACGGATTTAGCGATCAAAATGCCCTTCCCAAGCCGAAAATAATCAACAGCGCCAAACACAATCAACAGCAGCATAAATTAAAAAAAATCTCGAGAAATCTAAAAAAATCTAAATGGATGATCGCCAACAAGTAGTACTAGGTCCGCATAGCAAAGTAAAAACACTCACATATAACAACATTGTTACCAAACAGTAAATACATGGCGCATCCTAGGTGTAGGAAGTGGGTGACGTCAATGAACCAATTCTTGCTCACACGCAGCTCTCAAGAAGTTAGACACTCATCTAATGCACAGATTGGAAACACAGTCGCGATAACCGCTCCGCACTGGGGAGAGGGTCAGGACAATCGTCATGTGCCGCATCGTCGCGCGTGCGGCGTTCCTTGAATTTGGATTAGCGTGTCAATCGGAGCACCACTTTCACATGAACACGAAATTGTAGACAATTATGGCCAAGTTCAGTTACACATGGTCCATCGACGCCATCCGGGACTTGGGAAGATCGGCATTTGCGAGCGCGACGCCGCAAGCGACACCCACCAGCGCGTCGAATTACGATTGTCTTGTCACATACCCCGCTACTGCACGCACAGCTGCCATGAATTGCAAAACACAGGCATTTCCATTCGATTAGCTTCCTTTATGGGACATTTCTGACGTCTACAAGCTCAAACATATGAAAATTACAAACTACTGGACAAGAATACAGAAAAAAAGGCAGAAAAGTTTTACTCAGGCAGAGAAGCCGCGTCAGAAGTTGAATCCGATCTGACATATCCGGTTCTTAACTTCAACTACCATGCATTCCTCACAAAAGCCTACTATGAAGTATTCCGTCGAAGGGCATATTGCCAGGGAACAGGCCGTCAAAGCAATCGGTACCAAATTTTACCAAGCAAAAACTCCCATCGGGCTTCCCATATGCGCCAATGACTTCACCTTCGATGTGTCCAACCACGGGGACGTCGACAGACATCGAATAATTCTTCCCGTAAAAGCGCCTCAGAAGGGCAATGGACGCACTTCGCCGATTTCCTCAGTGCACTTTTATAATCAGTCCATGCCAAACAGTGCACGTCCTGCCGTTGAGGAAAATATGATGAGTAAAAAGTGAATTTTTCGGTGGGTCGGTTGAAGCCCCTTCCTGAAGCCACGATATTCATTTGCACCACTTTTCCCCTTGAAGCAGATATGTGAATACAGCCATAGCTTCATTGATGAGTATAGCCCACCACCAGCAGGACATGCCTTTTGACATTAAAAGAGGAAGGTTCCCAAATTTATCGATCCATTTTTGGGATGCGCCACGCATTCCAATTCCATTCAGAACCGTACTGAGGTTTTACAGGCGGTTCGGCCTAAACCATGATTTGGCCTCATATGGGTACCTGACGAGAGAATCGTAATTCGCAGCGCTGATTGGAGTCGGTGCGACGTCGCGCAAATGACGACTGTTTCATGTCGTAGACGATGACAACAGGCAATGTAGAACGAAAATACTCATAAACGTCTACAGTTTCGTAACTCACGTGAAACCCGGTGCTCCAATCGACAGGCCAACACGAGTTAAGGAAAGGCCGCGCCCATTGCCGCGCGCGGCGGAGCGGCAAACTACGAGTCCCTTGCCCGTCTCCCGCTTCCGATGCATCAATTAGCGTCAGATTTCTCTAGATAATCTAAGTGCTTGCCGGCTCCTGAAGGATGAAAGGCTCGGGGATCGGTCCAAGTTTCGACTCGCATTTAAACGAAAAAGCGATTCCCATTAGCGCGTTTCAGACAATTGATTTTGCTTTAATTGTTACTGAAGGCACAGTCAACGCTGAGTAAGGAGACATGGGTGGCAACCCCTCCCATTTAGATGTCGAGAGCGGCCCTCGCCTTCTACGAAGTGGTCGCCAAAACTATCCTCGACATGGGGTGCAATTTAGCGCGTGCATGAGTCGAATCTTAAATCATTACAATAACGCGTAACGACACTCCCTGCAGTAATCATTTAGTTATCTTCAATGCTATTCTAGTTATCCTTGGTGAAAGAAGGTCAGCACGCCTGATGCTAGAGTGTTGATAAAATGATTACTGATTAGAAAAACTGGAAAAAATGAAAAGCAAATTGAGAAAACGATTAGTGATTACTTCTTGTTCTCCAGCCTAAAAAAGATCTTCGTGGAAAGCGTTTTTCTGACGATGAAGAGCTGAAGGCGGCAATTAACGCATATTTTGGGGACAAGGAGGAAAATATTTTTAGAAGGGTATTGAAAAGTTAGCTTCCCTAGCAAACAAGTGTATTGAGGTCATGGGGGACTACATTAAAGAATAAATATATTCAGAATTTCCTGCCTTATTCTTCAAACCTATGCCAATAGTGCATTGAACACCTCTCCCGTAACACGGCGAACAAGAAGACACCAATGTGGAATGTGCACTGGCTGTCTCCGCCCAACAATATGCTTTCAACGCACAGTAGAATCGAAAGCAAATCGAAATTTCGATTGAAAATCTAAGCTACAGAAGGAATTCCAACGAAAAACAGAAATCGTGGGCGCTCACAGTCGTGGAGGAGCACCTGAAGGACTCCCTGTGCAGAACTAGAATTACGGCACATGAAAACGGCGGCTTTGCCTTAAGGGGAAGCACTCCAGTTCAACTGGGTGAACCAGTTTCAGGTACGGTACTTCTGTTCAGTCTCAGTTTTGTAAAAGGAGTCCACTTATATTCCCTCCAAAGTTATTAGCGCCAAGTTGCATACTTGCTGAATCACTGAATTCAGCATCAGTGTAAGGCTTTTAGGCGCTGTTCAGCTTAGGGGGGGGGGGGGGATTTTTCTGTTTCCCATCAATCATTGCTGATGTCTCCTGTGAAGACCTAAAATTTCCTGTGAAAGCTATGCAATAGCATGAGCTTTGTTCCTTGACAAGGGTCCACAGGTCTCACCAAGGTGAAACTTGTTACTCACGAGTAACTAGCAACAGGGACAAACGGAAGTGCAAAACGCCTATACCCCTCCTCCTCTATGCCGAAAAGCGCCTTTATTCTGAATATTCCAGAATGATGGCCGATATCGTAGTCAACCTTTCCGATCAAAAAAAGTGCAAATTGGAAAAATAAGTTGTTGGTACAAAAATGCAAACCGACATAATAAGTGACTCACCCCAATCGCATTACAACTGTATAGTGATATCGACGGGTACGGCAAGAAACCGGCTGCACAAGGTACGACACTGAAGGCGATTTGACCAAGCCCTGATTCTTTCACTTGAATCACTGAAAAACGGACTACAGTCTTGTTCACTGCGGATGCTGGGGCGTCTTAAAGGAAGGAGGGGGAGGTTCTGGCGCGGGTCCCAGGCTCCTTGATCTTTAGTAACCGTAATCTTTCGTGTTCAGGGGGCCGACAGCCCCCGGGACAAAGTTTCAGCCAAATCTACCTTAGAAGAAAGATTTCGATTGAAATCAAAACCCGATTTCGAAGGATGGGCAGTAGAGGGAGGACAAATAGTTCCACAACTCCCACTTTAAGGATCTGCTTCTACTAGTGGTAGGAATTAGCGGAAGAAATGACTACCTTTTGCTCTCTCCGTCACCTTCCATAACTTCTCGTCGGCATCAAGAACAATATACAGCACTTCTACGCAGGGCACCATAGATCTAAAAATAAGAAGGGGAATATCTTCTTGAAAAATGGCAAAAAATTACCACAAAACAATACACCTTTACATAATAAGGCAGCGAATAAAATCACGACAGTTCTCTCTGGAGTACGAATTACTGCGTAAGCTGATTTGAGGTTTGTTTAATTCATAATTCCAGTGCAGAAGCGAAGGTAATAACGCTGTAACGTAAGTTGAGTGTGGCTCCGTGCACGAGACGTGGCTTCTTAGCTAGTGCTCTTCTGACAGCTACAGTTGGTTGTGTGCTCCATCTTCTCATCGATGTATAGGACTGGGGCGATTTTGAGATGCTCGGCGTTTCGAGCGGTTACACGTCAAGGGTGTTGTAAATAGGTATCGATCGGCGCGGGTCCCGCAATCGCTAGCAACCGGTGCCGATCGATATTCTTGGGCTGAAATCATGCAGAACGCCCGTCTTCCAAACGACTGGGTGGCCGCATTCTTCCCCGTGTAATTTTCGCAAGAGGCGATAGATATTACTTTTCTCGGCGCCTCAAATTGCGAGCCTTCGAAAATCGTCGAATCTAGCAGCCGCAAAGTATGAAGGCGGTTGTGCTAGCACTCAAAGAACTACAAAGGAAGTAGCTATGGAAAAAAAAACAAACAAACAAAACAAAGTAGAATAAAGTGAGGGAAAAGCCTTGTTACCTTGAAGGAAATCCATCTGAGATCACAAGCTGTTCAGCACCGACAAAGTGTGTGCCACCGGTTGTTGTGACAACATCTGCGCACATAGTTCATAGCCTACCTGAAAATCTCAGGCTCTGTTCAACTGACTAACCCATCATTTTGTAAAATTCGTAGTTTTTCGCGTGTAACAATCGGAAATCTGCTACGATCACTTCACTCACAAGTGGTTGTGTGGGACCACAAGTTTTTGAGAAAAAAGGAGCTCTTCGTCATTGTCTAAAAATGATGCTAATATTTTCGGCGAGAAAGAACGCCCAAACACCACCAGTGTGGGGAAATTATCTACTTCTAGAAAGGAAAAAAGCCATCCAGAAGAAAAGCTAACGTGATCCATAACTGTCTACCAAGGTGCTGATTATATAACGAACTGCCAACAAAAAAGGGCACAGAACGGAACCAAGCTTCCTACGGCCTTGTTCGCTGCGGATACTGGGACGTGTCGGGTGAGGTGTGCGGGGAGAGGGAGCCTCGGGTCCTCTGACACACCCAGCATCCGCAGCGAATAGGGCTATATAAGATCAGGGCACGTCCTTTCGTTATGGAAAATCTTTACCCCCCTCCCCCCCCCCCCAGTTTCCAGCCGGTAGGACACTTCCCCGTCCCCATCTTAACAATCTTACCTCTTCGTCTCAGCTCTTCCTTAATTCTCCGAAACCACCCTAATTCTACCCTTTTCCGGAGAAATTCTCCAGTTTCTCCCCAAAAAAAGTATCGTTGAGCAGGCATCATTGGTTGGGGATCTAAGTCGAGTCTGTACGACCCCCTTTTTCTGGTGGGTTGGTAGGACCCCCCCCCTCCTCCCCGGCCCTCTGTCCCTCCTCATCGAATCGAGCTCGAGCAGAGGGGTGGGGGGAGGGGTAAATAGCACATGTGAAACAGGAAAAGCCGCGAGACAATACGACCCCCTCTACCAATCAGATTTTCCCCAACTTCCTGCCACTTTTTCCAAAATATCCCAGCACCCTACTTTTCCCCAAAAATTTTGCTGTCGCGGGGAGGGGGGAGGGGCATATAGTACGCATGAAACAGGAAAATCACGAAAAGTCAACCACCACTCCCACACTCCTAGAAAGGCCAGAAAGTAAATACGACCCCCCCTCCCAACAATGAGCAAGTACGACCCTTCCAACGTCCGTGAAGCGAGAAAAATCAACTATCAAAATAAATTTTCTCAGCCCAAATACGACCCCTCTCCTGGCGGCCAAATACGATCCCCCTGTTGGGGATTCCCCAACAACGATGTGCTCTAGAGCGGAGTAAGGCAAGGAGCGGGAACCACCGCCAGTGAAACGGCAAAAACCAGGGAAAGTCAGCAACCGGATACGACCCCCTACCCCTCCAGCGGGGTAAATACGACCCCTCGCTGGAGATTTCCAACTTAGGACGTGCTCTGTAGATAATAAGAAAGCAGTTGATGCCATAAACTTAAACCTTGACATGTAGAAACTCATCTATCAGAAGAAACCGAGTCCTTGGAAGGAAACAAACTCACCTTAGGTACGTGGAGATCAAACGTTTCGCGATATGAATATAGCCTATCAAGGAACTTCTTGTCGCCAGATTCCGACTCAGATTCCT